CATTCAGGAACCGGTATCGAAGTCAAGGTATCGGTATCGATATCGAAAAATTTTTAACGATACCCAGCCCTAGTATGGTGAGGGGCGTAACATTTCCATCACAAGCTTGAGGTGTTCGGCCAATCACAACGCACTGGATTGCTGGCCAATCAGAGCACACCTCGCTTTTTTAGAACGATGAGCCTTATAAAAATCGATGCGTTTCAGAAAGGCGGGGCATAGAGGAGAAACAATAATGTACAGTATGTGGAAAATAATGTGTTTTTTGAACCTTAAACCGCATAAACACATTTCAGTACACCAAATACACAAAATAATGTTCTTTTTAGCAACATCATATGACCCCTTTAAAATAAATGCTGTTCTTTTGAATTTTCTATTCATCAGAGAATCCTGAAAAAAAATAATCACAACAATATTAAGAAGCACAACTGTGATAATAAGAAAAGCTGAAATATAAAATTGACAAGTTACTTAATTTCTGTAATGTTACTGTTTTATTGCATTTTTCAACAAGTAAATGCAGCCTTAGTGAGCATAGAAGACTTCTTTAAAAACATTTAAAAATCATACTGATCCTAAAATTTTGAACAGTAGTGTACCATCAAAGTAACCCCTTGAGTTCAAATAGTCTCACAATATAATTTTTACTAAATTAGCTTTATGTTTTCCCCCCCAAAAACCTATTTGCTAGATGTGATTTGCTATTTTTAGATGCTTTAAATTCCATGCATTCTCTTAAATTAACCAGAGGGGGGCAGACAAACACTGTTATGACAATTGGGATCTTTATTATAGTCATACTAAATATAGCATCGTATTTTATGCATTGTTAGATCACATTTTTAATTAAGTTGTAATTGTTTATTTAACTTAGAATCATAAAAACAACATTTTTTTTTTTTTTTATATAATAGGATTATTTTTATTGTCCAGTGGCATACAGAGTCTGGCATTCCATTCATTATAATAAAGCAGGGGAAATTTTTCAACAATTTTTAGCATGTCCGAATCCTTTGAAGTGGTCAGATTTCTCAGGATGGAATGACATGGACAACAACCTCTGTGAACTCCCGTGTGAACTCTTGAACTCCTGTCCTGAGTGTTAGGACTTGTTGAAAGCAAAAGTTACTAAGTTAGTTCCACATTTAGGTGAAACCAAAATAGCAGTTACAAATTAGTTTAGTTCAGGCAGCCCTTTCGAAATCTCTGTAAATCACTGTATTTTCCCTTCTTTTTTATATGTTAAGAATTCTCTCTAGCCTTCCTGTACTGCTTGCGTAATCGGCATTGGTGCACCTTTGAGCAAAACAACTCCAATTATAGCACAAACAGTTGATGCATGATTACAGTGTTTGTCAGACACCAATGTGACTTTAAACACAGTTTTAATAGTGTATTCAAAACACCTTTTATGGTTGAAGTCAGAATGTGTTTTTCTATGAATCTCTTGGACTATCACAGCTGAAAATAATAGGTTATGTGTTTTATTTAAAAGAAAATAAATATGTGCAGTAAAACTATCATTCTCAGCATAAACTGATACTTAAATGGGACAGATGAAGAAATTTGAATTCGCTTAGACATGTAATGTTTTAGGTGCAATTGTTTTAATGCATATATCTTCACTGCAGTTTGAACTATGAAGAAAGGTTACAACTTGCATTCCTAGGACATCACAAGTATTACCTACAGGCCATGTCATCGCATCTTAAGTTCTGTCAAACACAGACTCCAGCCAGAGCATAAATCACATAACTCGGCACTAGTAATCTAGCAATTTAGCAATCCTTGAGTGAAAAGCTGGTTCTTTTAATTGCAGAGAGCCGCTCAAATAATGCTAGTCCTCTGTCTCTATAATGCTGCTATACAGGTATTGGGGCGACTAGCCTTGAGCATGCCATCTTACCACTGAAAGGCCAGGAGTGATTTCATATCCCTTGCGTCTTGTCAACACGCTTTCATCTGAACGCCAGTTAGTATCATTAACCGCTCATATTTCACTCTTCTGGAATGTTCTGATACAGTACCGTTTCAAAAACAAATGTGAATATTAAGAATTTGAAATTGTATGGATCAATTCAAACTTGTTTATCTAATTGTAATGCCTGTGGCGTTGTTGTGAAGGTGTGCTAGCTTTGGTAAACCTGAAAGGGAAATCATTAGGGTTGTTTACTTGATGTCAGACATGGAAAAAATGAGGTGCAGGCTGTTTGACTCTTGCGCCCGCTGGCTGTCACCATGGAGACGAGCTCATCACAAATATAGCAGTACTTAGTGCGACAACTTTCATCTTAATCCAAGTAGTGTTGTCTTCACGCACATGCATTTTGATGTGCAAAATCAGATTATGTTACAGCAGTAAACTTTTAAAAATAAGGCTCGCAAGCATTACCAGTGATACATAGAGTATAAAACCAATACACTTACACACGTGCACACACACAAGACTTCTTTTCTTCTCTGCAGTTCTTTTCTTCTCTAGCTTGCTTCTTCGATTGGTGTATGATGTATTTTGAAACAATTTTCACTCAGAAATTGCTAGTAAAGTCCAGAAATAATTACAAATAAACTTCAAGTAACACCTTAAAGGAATAATTCATCAAAAAATTTAAATATGCTGAAAATGTACTCACCCTTAGGCAATTTAATATGCAGATAAGTTTGTTTCTTCATCTAAACAGATTTGGAGACATTTAGCATTACATCACTTGTTTATAGATCCTCTGGAGTGAATGGGTGCCAATAGAATGAGAGTCCAAACAGCTGATAAAAACATCACAATAATATTCTTCCTTTAAATTTAACAGGAAATGTAGTCTTCAGTAGAAAGACTAAAATGCATTTTCTTGTGAAACATACCGACAAACTTTGTTTTATTTACAACTTTGAAAATTTTTTTCAGTGTATTTGTCTAAACCTGACATTGTATATTACAAATATTGTTGACTTTTTGACAAAATGCTTTTGTTCTTCTTTTGAAAGTCACTTTTTGGATAAAAGTATTTTCTACATGTATAAATGTAGTTGTAATGTCATTTGTAATGCTTGTACATTACATAATGACTTTGTAAAAAATCCACAAAGATCTGTCTTCATAGAAGAATGAAATATGTATTGCTTGTATGTATAGCTTGTATAGCTCAGAGTCAAACTCTGTCTGGGAGTGATTCATTTCTGGGCCGCCGCCTTCTTTTACATCTGTAGATGGAACAGAAGCAGCCAGTGCTGTGAGTCAGGGGACGAAGAGAAAGATCAGCCCAAGCCCATCCTCCTCTGACAAGACACAACACCCATCTTTAACATAACCTCATCAAACCTCTAACAAGCTAACAAGGGTGAGTGCAGATCAGGAGGCATGTGTCAACAATGTACTGTTGTACTCTTTTTACAAGGGACAAGGAGGTTCCAGACATTTCCATTGCACCGTTACATGCACCCGCAGCAATCACAGCATATCGTTTGGGAACCCCCTATACTGTAAATGCAGTATAGCTAATCAAAACAGACTAAGAAAGGCTGGAAGCCTTGCTAAGCCTTTTGTTGTATTGAAATGGATGCACTTAGCCAAAGGAAGGATTGTGATGTTATTTTGTATTTCTTGTACCGTTAAAGATTCAAGAATGTATATGAGCATGCTTGACATGATGTTGTAAATGCATTTTTCCAGCCTTGATCCTGCAGAAAGAATTGCAATTAGTTGAGAGCGGAGTTACTATAGTTTAGAATTTTTAATTCAGATTTTTTTTTTCCAGATTTCAGTTTATTTATTTTTGTTTATTTATTTATTAGTTATATTTAACTATTATTTTAGAACTTCCAAATTTAATGCACTAACCAGTATAAATTAAGTTTTTTTTAATGCCATTAAATTTCTCAGCACAGTCTAATGTTATTATAGAGTCGAGTCAATTGTATTTGCATAGAATTGGATATAATAGTCAGAATTACTAGTTGATTAACTGCTATGATTAATATGACGTATATCATGGTTTACGATATTGATGGTTTGTTGAGTGGCATGTTAATTTCCAGTTTTATAGTATACTGTCTTATCAAAAATGAAAACTTTTTTTTTAGTTAGTTTTGGAGTTAATTTGAGCTTGGTTTCAGTTTTTCCCAGTTATAGTTTTAATTTTTATTTCAGTTAACAAAATGTTTTTGTCTAGTATTCTTTATAAGTTGTGAAAGACGCGCAATATTAACACTGCTTGAACAAATTTAAAAACAGAATAGCACAAATGCCAGCACTTTCATTAAAGCATTAGTGGCTGGTTGCCTACAGTAACATAGAGCCAAAAAAGGTTCTAAAGAATAACGAATTCATGTTTTCCATGTGGACCTCTAATTTCCCTGCATACTTCTCAAGCCTCACCACCCCTTTAAAAGCATGTATCTAAATAATTGTGCCACTGTCTTCTAATAACTGCCAGAAAGCAGCTTCTCATTATCTAATCTCAGACTCAAGATTTACAAATCTTTAGACAATTCACAGTTATGGCTGGGCTATCTCTGGTTCTCCCAGCGAGCACACGGCTATCTAAAAGGACCTTGATTTATACATGGCGATTGATAATTGCTAGTGTCTTCCCATTTGTCAAAAAAGGACTAGTCTGGGATGGGTTTTAAGAGCATGCTTGAAGTTCTCTGTACAAGACAATTAATCTGCCAACCCTTCTTGTAAATCATCATTGTTTATGTGTTGGACTACATCACTTAGACTGAGGCAGTAGGTGATTCAAGTGTGCAAATGTTTCCATTTCAAATTAATCACACATTGCTGGTAGTGGAGTGCAGAGAATCACACTCATGGAGTGGAACAACTGACTTAATATAAATGCAAGGAGGTAGAGAAAATGAAACGCATATTTATCTTGTGAACTAGAGCGAATACTGCTTCAATACAGGGCTGTGAAAAATCCAAAACTGAACAATTGTCTTGCTTTTAAATTCGTTTAGTGTATCTGTCTGTCTTGCATTTCATCTGTCCATAAGTTCTGCAAACTTTTAAATGCGATTTTTTTCAAACTTTTTTTACACTTCCAAACACTCACATTTTCAAACTTAGCTTTTCATATACAGTTAGTACTGTACTTCCTTATACATTCAAATTCAATTCTGCATCCTGTTTGCTTCCTTAATTCAAAATCTCAGTTTTGTTCTAATAATACTAATAATGGATCTGATGAGCTGGGAATCAATTCTTATTGGTTTGAAGGGCAGTTCAGGTTAAGTGTCCAGCTCCAGGGTGCTCTTTAACCTTTGACATGGCCATCAACAGTTCAAAGCTGTTACTATTATAAACCACTCTTTGGCTGGCAGGTTAGATATTTGGTGAAAAATTGGGTGACACTGAGGGAATTACATTTTGTAGATTCAATAAGCATTTTAGATATAGCTAAATGGTGTTTTTGTTGTATTGTTTTTGATACCTGCAAAATAATAAAATCCTGTTATTTTAAGTATTTCAGTTCCCAAACCTTGCAAACAAACCCCTCAATTACCAAGTACATCAGTCTCTCCTTTCTGTGCTTATGACCTCTAATTTTTCCTCTCATGGTCATTGAGAAAAAGCGCCAAAAACAATTACATTGACATTCCCACACTCTCCTCTGTCTGGCTGCGGTACGTCTGTTTTTGTCTTTGCTTACCTTGGTGCTTTCTGTTGCATTTGGGGATCATTATGTTTATTATGTTTATCAGGTCAACAAAGCTGTCCGACATCCAAAGTCTGATTGATTTTATTCCGTTTGAGTGTAAAGTCCCAAAGGAGCCTGTAATTAGCATGCAAAGGTTGTGGCATTTTACAACTAATTTCAAATTATAGAGCAAACACAGTATGACACAATCCAGAGCCCTGTGTTTAAACAAACCTGCATTTTGGATTATAATTGCAGAACAAGAAAAGGAAGAGGATGTTGTAATTCCCACTTAAGCAACTATATTTTCCGCTAACAAAAATGGATTTGCCTTTCACTGGAGATCTGGAAAACACCCCACGCCCATGAGGGACATCAAGTCAACACGTCTATCGGTCAAAACATGTTATACAGTAGCTAAATGGCTTGACTAACCATTCTCAGCTACTAGGAAATATGTATATGCTTTTTGTCTTTTTTTTTCCATCACAATGTAAAACTGCAGATGAAGGTGCAAATAAATTACATTTTCTGTTATATATCTCTCACTGTAAATGTCTGAATAGACTTGATCCGGCTGATTGTGTTATGTTAAAGTCTGTGTTGAAAGATGGCTTAGTCACTGTAGTTTTGGTCTAACATGAGCCAATCTTGCATTGTGTGCAAAATATCAGCCGGACACCTAAAACATGGCTGAAGTCATGATTGGGCAGTAAAAGTTGGACAGGAAGGAAGCAATGTCTGAAATGGCATCTCTTTTCTTGTTTAAAGGTTATTGCACCGCCACCCACTGCTGATATGATCTTAGCTGTTAGAAAGCACTCTTGAGCCACTGGTTTGACTGGAGGCTTGAAAATTGTAAAATAGGTACAGCCCAAGAGAAGATGGAACACTTTTGCCATAGTGGCTTCCTCAGTTGGTTATGACTTTAGTTAAAGGGATTGTTCAGCCAAAAATGAAAATTCTGTCATCATTTACTCACCCTCTTATCAAACCTGTATGACTTTTTTCTTCTGCAGAACATAAATGGAGCTATTTTGAAAAATGTTGATAGCCAAACAGTTTCTGTTCCCACTGACTTCCATTGTAACTTTGTAACCCTAATTGTTTGGTTACCAGCATTCTTCAAAATCTTCTTTCATGTTCGACAGAAGAAGCAAAAGAAACGAAAAGTTTAGATTTTTGTTCTTGCCCTGCCAACATTTTACTGGCCCCAGCACAATAAATTGTTTTTCATTTTATTCATTTTACATGTGTTAAAAATATATATATTTATATTTTTCATTTAATGTTAGCCCAAACAGTACAATATGTTGGAAAATGCTGTCATACAATGCATACATTTATTAGCTGAATGTTTCCAAGACCAAAACATTGCCAAAGTCCTGTTTTAAGCATATGCCTTAATATTTCTTTTTATATATATATATATATATATATATATAATTTTGGCTATAATAACTATATAATTTTGGCTATAATAACTATATAATCTTGACTTGTAAAATTTTAAAAGATAAGAGAAAATGCTTCCCATCTTTTATTTTTGACATCAAATTCACACAATTTTAATGATTTTATTTACACTACATGAATTTTATTCATACAAAAAAAAATTCCAGTGTTTTGTCAGACATTTTTTCATAGTAAAAAATTTTGTTGGGTCTGACGTAAACTCTTTGTCCTGAAGCAAAACGTTAGTGTATCTTGACCCTTACAGTAATAGAGGCAAAGTTTAAAAGCACTGAGCTGAAGATTTTTCTCTTGCAATAAATAATGTCAGGTTTGAGACCACATTCCAACATGGTGGTTAGAAACTTCCATTTCTTATTCACACCAAATACTGAATAATAGAAGGAGGTCAGCTAGTTAAAATTTCACACTATTGTACACTTTCAGAACAAAATGCATTTTTGGATTACAAAAACACATCGGAGTTCAAGTAGAGGATACACAAGCTGTTTGCGAGTGAGAATAAAAAAGCAACCAAAGCCCTTAACACACAGCCATCACAGGTAATAATTGTAAAATATCTGTGTTCCTTTTCCCCAGCTTTGAAGTGAGGTGGCTACTGTCTGTTCTTGCCCCGTAGGAAGCGCACATTTGATTTATGACTTTGCAGACAACCAAATTACACTGTCCCTCGCTGCAGCCCAGGAAGGCCAGTAATCGCTTAATACACAACAGCTAATTGTGACCATGCAGAGATATGGAGTTTATGTGACATATGATAAGTGTTTTTTCCATCCCTCTGGCAGAGAAAAGGTGTAAAGGCAAATTGGTAAAAGAGGCTTATCTGATAAAGATGTAATTTGTCATGAATGTTCCCATTTTTCTCTCAAAACCCAGAACACAGCTTAGACAATCCATCTGGATCAAGGTGGAGGAAAACTAGGAATGCATTACGAGGGACCAATGTTCATAATTATGAATTGTACACTGCAGGTACACTTTCATAGCTATGCTCTTTAAAAAGATGGTGCAGAGGATCTATAATTGTAATCATAGTTCTATTTAGAACCATAAAATACCCTTTTATGCTGAAATGGTTCTTTATGCTGGGGATTAGGGTTCTTTATTCCCGCCCTTTTTTTTTTTTTTTCAAAATCTGTAACTGTCAAAATATTCTTTCAAAGCAGCTTCTGACCGGTTTCCTTGAGCTCAACCATCCAACGACACAGACCGCCAACACACACTCTCTATAGGTACATTTTAAAAGCTTCTAAATATGTCTACAAATTTTAACTTTTAAATTGTAACTGGTTGTAAATTGAAGAATTCTTTTAGAACCCCTTTTTCTTAAAAGAATACTTCACCCAAAAATACAAATTGTGTCTTTATTTGCTTACCCTCATGTCATTTTTTCATTTACATTATTGGATCAAGGTCTTTAGACTCTCTAGAACTTCCAGGCAAGTGTGTTGGAGCTAAAATCTGCAGAACAGTTCTCCAGAAGCAGGGTTGGAGACCCTTACCATAGAAGATCCATTTTGGGTTCCCTAAATAATCTTTCAGTATAAAGTTCTTGTAAAAAAACAACAACTGTTTTTTTGTTAAATGTTCATGGAATCATGGAAGTCAATAAAGAACCTTTATTTTTAAGAGTGTTTCCCTCCAAGAGCTGTTTTTGCTGAATACAAATATGAATGAACCCTGATTCCATAATATTTATGAGGAGGAATCGTCTGCAATATCAGTACATAACTGTCAAAACCAAACATACACACCTTGGAGTTACGTGCATCTGTCAGCTTTGGAAATGACATTCCTCATTTTCGGCATGGTTTAGTTGGAAAGATCAGATCCTGAGTGTTGAGGAGGTGTGTCAAAGCCTGTTGACTGATGTCTACGCTTGCCTGGAGGGCACTTGTAAACACAGAATACACCTTTGTTTATAGGCAGCTGGCTCACGTGACACATCCACAGATTGCCTTTAAAAACCCCTCTCGCCCTCTCCGAGACTGACAGATCTGATCTAGAAGGTGAGGAGAGGATTTCAACATGTGGATGCTTTGCAAAGCTAACTGTTTATAGTTCACACAGGCCACAAGAACTCTCATCTCTCAAACCAAAGCTAAGATTTGCATTTCGCAGAGGACAAAAGTCGACAACGATGAGTCTGGGCAGCACCAGTACAGAATCTGAAGTTTCAGAGGATGAGTTGGAGGATTGTCCTTTGGGTGAGGATGACGACTGTAGCAGCGAAAGCCCTGCAAAGATTCGTTCAGAGTGCTCGGTGTCATCCAGCCCCAGTGACACGGAGGGCTTCAAAGCGGCTAAGAGGCGTACTCGGCCTAAGCGGTCCAAAGCACGGAGAGTCGCCGCCAATATCCGAGAGAGGAAGCGCATCCTGGACTACAACCAGGCCTTCAACGCCTTGCGCACTGTCCTCAAACATGACCTTAGCGGAAAGCGTCTATCCAAGATCGCCACTCTTCGCCGTGCTATCCACCACATTTCAACACTGTCTTTATGTCTGTGGACACAATCAGACACTGAAGCACACGCACCTCCGTGTGCCCATATGGAGTGTTACCGACAGCCAGAAGACAACACTTCTCTGCCCAAGAAGACAGTAACTTTCCAGGAACCGATGGAGAACTACATTCCCCATCAGCCAGAGCCTGTAGCAGTTTCTCCAGAGATACCTGGAATTTTGTACCAGGACATATCAAACTCTGTACCATCTCCTCACTACAGCCACTGTGCAACCAACAGTCAGGTACACGTGAGCCATGGACGCTACAGTCACCACTGGGAGGACCGAAGCAGTGATTACTACAGTGGAGGAGCTGGATATCAACATGGGATGAGGGTCACCTGCCATCAGAATCATATGGACACTTATGCAGACTCTGCTAACGGCTTGGCAGCTGGGTTACCTTCAATATCATGGATACCAGAAATCCCTGAGTATACACTGACTAAATTTTCTCATGCTAGAATTATGTTGAAAAGCATTAGCAATTTGTAAATATAATAATGTGAAGATTATGTTTGGATCCATTTCTCACGTTAAAAAATATACTGTATATTACAGCAAATGCCTTTGAAAAAATGTTCTGTGTTTGTTTATTGTACATTCTAGATTTTTTTAGTACTTAATAATTCATACCATTTTTTTCATATGCACAAATCCCCAAATAAAGCAGCTTATTATAAACCAGACTCAAAAAGTATAAATATCTTTTAAATCTACCAATAAGATATAACATTAAGTGCAATCAAATTCATTTTGATTAAACCATTAGAACACTGAATAAGATTCACATTATTTTATAGTGATACCTGACCCTGATCCATATTAATGTGGAAGTCTGTACCTGCTTCATAGTAAGCGACATGTCACAATAGAAACTTTATTGTTTTCCCTATTGCAATTTTATTTCTCCCAATATAACTTAAAATCTCACAATTTGAGCATGTACAGTTTGTTGTAATATGACTTTAAATCTTGCTATGTGACTTTACATCTTGCAATTGCAGCTTTGTATCTTCCTTCTTTATTTCCAATAATTTTGGCTTTTATATTTCACAGTGTTATTTGACTATTTATTGTTTTTATAACCTGATTTATTTTTACTTTGAGTAGCAGTTATTGCTTATGAATTATAATTCTTGCAAATCTTTACCTGCATGTCAGTATGGATGTCATAATTTTCACACTTTGCTGTTAAACAAAGTGGCCACAGTCAATAAATGGTTACTGACAGGGAAAAATAGAAAATGACAGCAAGTCTTGTATCTATGTAACAAACAATACAGATGCAAATAAATTTGTAGCCTAATATAATTGAGTACAAAGCATGATTACTGATACATGAAGTCACAATCAGGTTTCTATTGTCAAACGTACTTGTTCTGTAATCATTCTAACAGGATTTGTTGTGCATCTTCGGAAATTTGACTTTAAACATAATTCATGCAGTTGAAGAATTCAACACCAAAATGCATTTCCTCATTAAGAGACAGTCCTTCTTAAGATGGTGTTCAGGCTTTTTGAGATTTGCAAATTAGCAAGTGTCTTAAAAAATAATATAATAGGGAAATTATTCCTGCAGAAGGGGGCAGTGATGGTCTCCCCCTCAGGACTGATAGAGGGAGGTGATTCCAGTAAGATGGGGGAACGAGGAACAGGAAAGAGCTCAGCGCTCCCTCAAGGCAGATATGACTCAGCTTTGTCTCTTGATCACGTCCAGTCAGGGGAAATTCCGATTCTGTTCCTCTCCACCTCCTTCACATGGTGTGATGACATGTCTCTCGCTCTTGACAGAACTAGCAGCCACGTAGTAACTAGTAACAACTGCCAATTTGTACAGTAATTTCAAAAGCATTGCCATTTGAGTCAGTATGGCTGAACTAAATAACGGGTTCAGATTGCAAGGAAGTATTGTGGGAAAGTATTTGTAAATTAAGTCATGCCAAACACCCTATGAAATCTATGTTTTTTTGACTTGCAGATTACTATGTTTTTAGGTCGTTACACAAGTGGGCCACTTGAGGGCAGCAAATACATACAAGACCAGTCTACATCGCATCAAAACTAATTCATCAGATCTGTTTTTATTCAAAAAGGCATAGAGTTTTTCTTTTTTTCTGAACTCCGTTAACCTGTATATTTTGGGTTAATCTTGCTGAAATTGCAAGCTGTTATTAGATTAAAAGCGAAGATGATCAAATGATAATCTCCTCAATTTGTTTTGATCTGTAACACAAAAGGAGTTATTTCCTAACTTCCGTATATTTTGATGTCATTAATAAAGCAATAAGCCCCAAGAAGCCGTGGTTTACAGTGAATTTATAACAGCTAAGGGGCGTTGTTGTTAGGCACGACGTGAAGCGGAGTGGGGCTAAAACCCCCTTAGCTGTTATAAATTCACTGTAAACCACGGCTTCACGGGGCTTATTGCTTTTATAAAACGGTTGTTCCATATACGTAATAAGGTTTCACAAAATAAAACAGAGCAAATAAAGTGTAATGATATAAATAAAAACAGTATTCTTCCACCAAACAATGTAGTTCCTCAGAAACAGTTGTGGTTCCCACAAAGTGGTTGCCGAGCAACACACAGAAGTAAACAAAGTTGTATGTTTGTAGTGTAATTTAACAGCTTCGAACGCGCCTCAACCAATCAGAATCAAGGACAGGAACTATCCGTTTTATAATATTTGAGCGCTACAAGTCTGAAATAACATGACAATGAGTGAGTAAATGATCAGAGTTTTCATTTTTGGGTGAAATATTCCTCTGACCTTTAGCTTTCGCCTTCCCCAAATCCTGTGCCATTGCTTCGGATATACCACTGATTTGTATTAAACCCCCACACTTGAATCCCATGATACCATTAGCACAAAGTTCACATTTATTTTTACTTAAAAGTCAGACTGCCCACACATCTAGGGCTTATTATCATTTCATCAAATGGCAGGGTGGAATAAGTTCATGTCTTTGCCACGAATCCTTTTAAGGCCTCGGTTCTCTGAGAACCTTCTTTCAGACATTTTCTATGACTAATACAGCATGTCAATGAGTGCATAAACAGTTTAAGACTAACAAAAGCCAGCTTTGGCATAGAAGACAGATGAATCAATCGCCACATAAACAACCCTGTGAGCAGCAAGTCCCATGTTTTTCAGAGTCCAGCAGACACTGGAGTGCACACACTCTCTGATGGATTGGGCAAAAACTAACCGCTAGCCAGCTAAATGACAGATTGCACTGTGACAGTGGAGATGATCACTGTTGGGTTCACTGTCTTGTACAGAGGAGGTTGTTTGAGCTAGTCTCGTCTAATGAGCCCATTATAGAGACTAAGAAAATGACCTATGTGACACTTTGATTGGAAATAAGGATATTGATCAGTGACCTGCAGTAACTCTAAAAGGGTGTTTATACTGAGCGATTTGCAGCAAGGTTTTTTGCTGCTTATTTTGTAACAAGAGTGTATTTATAACCATGTGAGTGACAGCAACCTGTGGGCATGTTCAGGGACACAATAAAGTTTAGAAGAATTTAACTTTATGCAAATTAGTACAAATTTGATGTGGCAAAGTCAGCGAAGTTCCATAATCTAATTTATGTGAGAAGCATGTTTAAGCAAGACAATTACTGTGAGCAGTTTCACTGTTCTGTATGTTTTGCCTCTGCCCACACACAAATCTTTCAAAAGTTTGGGGTCAGTAAGATTGTTTGAAAAAAAATTAATACTTTTATTAAGCAATGATGCATTTAAATAAAAGTGACAAGTTTATTATGTTATAAAAAAATTATTTTAGGTAAATTATGCTCTTTTGAACTTTCTATTCACTTAAAAAAACATAATTCCACAAAAAATGTTAAGCAGCCTAACTGTTTTCAACATATGATATGTGTGTGTGTGTGTGTGTGTGTGTGTATATATATATATATATATATATATATATATATATTCAAATCAGCATATTAAATGATTTCTGAAGGATCATGTGACACTGACGACTGGCGTAATGGCTGCTAAAAATTCAGCTTTGCTTAGTTTCTCATAGAAACATATTACATTTTAAATTTACGTGCATATTAACATATTAATACAATGCAATTCTTTTAAATTGTAATATTTCACAATATTACTGTTTTTTACTGTATTTTTGATTAAATAAATGCAGCCTTGGTGAGCATAAAATACTTTAATGTAGAGCCATTTTAATTTAATATATAATTAATATAAAAAAATTATGCATGGAAACCTGTGTCAGACATTGACGGCATTCGTTCATCGTGTTCATGATATGACGTATTTTGCGCTGCTGCAATTTATGTACAGACACTTCCTCTGCGTAATGTTAACTTTTAGCAGCTAGAAAATTGATTCCTTGTCAATTCTGCCAATGCATCTCATTTGTGAATCTAGACTTTCAAAAGCTATTGCCAGTTATCTATACAATAATTTTAGAGAATCTAACAGTAGGAACGTCTAGTAATACATTATATTGCTGTCCTACTCTCGTTTGGGCACCCCTGGTGTAGAAAGTGGGATAATGGGAGTTAAACTTGCAATGGCCACAAGAACATATGCACTAACTGCTGTGCTATGGCTCAGCATTTATCTCATTTCAAATATTCTTTATATCTTTTCTCTTTTTCTACTTGAAATTTCACTGGAAGATGAAAGCGAACAATAAATTACAACCATCAAGGTAAATCAATTGGGAGATGAGGTCACCTAAAAATCAAAAGGTATTTTCAATGTTGTTGACAGCAGTTCTGTCACAAGGTCTAACTTATTTTTGCAATTTGCTCCAAAAATAATCCATGGATGAATAGAGAGAGATAACAGAACAAGGCTATGGCGTGTCCACTGAGAGATAGTAAAGGCACAATATGTAATTTTTTGCCACTAGAGGGCGCGTATTCAAAACAAACAAAGAAACAAAGTCGTAGTTAGATGACGCTGTGACTGGGTGTGGAATCATGGGAGTTGTCGTCTTCATCCCCACAGCCGAAGCAATCTGATGGGACTCAGGCATAAATCATGTTCATGGATGAGCTAATGTATTAAAGATTTATTAACATTGTAGTATGAAGCAGGGTAAGGCTGAAAGCTGTCGAAGCGAAACGAGGCCGCTGAACGAGCGCGACGCACGGCTCGAAAGAAGCGGAGCTTTTATTATGCCACAGTCGACCGCTTCCGCTCCTTCCAGAAAGCAGCGGAAGTAAGCAGCGCTGTTTTATCATACTAGATACATTTGAACGTTCTGTTATAATGCTACTCTGTGGTATTTCCATCTCTTTTTTCACACCCCCTCCCCTCCAGCTCCCCTTCCATGAATTTGTGGAGGCCAGTCAGGAGATTTGTGTGAGAGCCTGATAGAGAACCCCCGACTGTTCTGCTGCAAGTTTTTTTTGAGTGTGTCCTTCCTTTACCTCCTACAAAGTCATTCTTGT